TTATAGCAGAATGTTATCTATCAGGGCTGGCATTGTAGCATAGCTGGTAAAGCCACCGCCTGCAATGCTGGTATCTCAAATGGATGCTGGTTCGAGACCTGGCTGCTCCACTTCTGATCCAGCTAACGGCATGGGAAAAGCAGAGAAAGATGGCCCAAGTGCTCCCATGCCTCTCACATGGGAGACCCTGGTGAAGCTCTAGCTCCTGGTTCCACCCTGGCCCAGCCCTGGCCAATGCAGCCAATCTAGGGAGTGAATTAGCAGTTGGAAGATATCTCTCTCTCTCTCTCTCTCTAACTCTTTCAAAATAAATAAATAAATACTTACAAAGTCATCACTGATCTGAAATTCAAGTTTAACTAGATGTTCTAGATTATACTTGGCAACCCAACTCTGGCCAGTCATCATAGTGAAGCAGGAGACCTCAATGGTCTTGTCATGCTATTAGGAGGAAAATCCCTAGCACGTGCTTTCAGGTTGTCATGGAAAATCTGACTCCTGCATTCAGTTGAATTGTAAGGTCTTTTATTGACTGGGACTCACAAACAATGCCTACAAGTGCAGGAAATAAGTTCACGGCACAGGAGCTCCTGGGTCTATGTGCACCGACTCCTCCCTGTGCCTCCCAGTGCGCAGATCTCTAGGCTCACAGTCTGTGCCGTTCAGCATGTATTTCTCTCGGTTCTCATAACCAACGCATACAACAGGCTGAGGGCTATTGTTCCCATGTGCAGGCAGACGGGCACTGCTAGTGGTCATTATCGAAGGCCCCATCCACATGGCTAGAGTCAGAAGCTGTGTCTCAGTACCCAGGGCCACCGTGGGTAGAAGCTTACTCCAAACTTCACAATTTCTCTCTTTTTTTAAAAAAGATTCATTTATTTGAATGTCGGAGTTGCAGAGAAGGAGAGCCAGAGGCAAAAACAGAGAGAGAGAGAGGTCTTCCATTCGCTGGTTCATTCCTCAAATGGCTGCAATGGCCATAGCTAGGCCAGACTGAAGCCAGGAGCCAAGAGCTCCATCCACGTGTCCCATCTGGGCCAGGTGCAGTAACAAGGAGCTGACTAGGAAGTGGAGCAGCCAGGGCTAGAACCGGCACCCAGATGGGATGCTGACATCGCAGATGGAGGCTTAACATTCTATGCCACTGCGCCAGCCCCAACTTAATTTCTTTTTTTAATTAAGATTTTATTTATTTATTTGAGAGGCAGCTACAGAGAGAGAGAGAAAGAGAGAGAGAAAGGGTCTTCCCTCCACTGGTTCACTCCCCAAATGGTCATAATGTTTTTAGCTGGGCTGATCCAAAGCCAGGAGCCAGGAGCTTCTTCCAGGTTTCCTACATGGGTGCAGGGGCCCAAGCACTTGGGCCATCTTCTACTGCTTTCCCAGGCCACAGCAGGGAGCTGGATCGGAAGAGGAGCGGCGGGAACTCGAACCAGCACCCATATGGGATGCCAGCACCACAGGCAGAGGCTTAGCCTACTACGCCACAGCTCCAGCCCCTTCACAATTTCTTAAATGCAGCACGTGAAGAGCTGGCTGGGTCATTTAAATAGTCCTCTTTCACAAAACCATGCCCGTAAGAAAGGCAGGCCTTCAGAAGCCCGTGATCACGGCCTGTGTTCAGCCAGCACCACTCAGACAGGTGAAGAGGGCCCAGGATCTCAGCCCCACCTGGGCTCCTCAGCCGCCCTCCTCAGCCAACCTCACAGGAGCGCTCCCCTCGCTCCACCTGGAGTCTATTTCTCCCTGCTCTGCCATCAGAAACATGACCACTGCTCACCTTCCTCTGAGCATAACAACAGCAAACAACTGTTGTGACCAAGTGCTTACCAAAAAATTCCCCCAAACCCACGATCTCCCGTAACACCACGGCAGCTACGGCAAAGCTCGCGCTGCCAGCACCAAGCAGAGTACACAGGAACAGGAGAGAAGCACACAGGGCCCCTCCTGCTCACTAACCCCACACAAGCCCCAGTGGCTCTGGATGGCAAAAATTCTCCTCCAGGGCAGGCGATGTGGTGCAGATTAAGCTGCTGCTTGGGTCACCCGCGTCCTGCGTCAGAGGGCCTGGGACTGAGTCCTGCCTCTGCTTCCAATCCAGCCTCCTACTTAGGGATCCTGGGAGCCAGTAGATGATGCCTCAAATAACTGGCTTCCTGCTACCCACCTAGGAGGTCAGGACAGAGTTCCTGGCTGCCGGCATTGGCTCAATCCTGACTGGTGTGGGTATTTGGAATATATGTATCTCTCTCTGTCTCTCTGTCTCTCTCTTTTAAATAAATAAAATTTAAAATGAATCTTCCACTTCATGACTGGCTCTGCTCACAGCTTACACGTAATGGCAATCCCTTCCCCCAGTCAGCCAGTGCAAGCCCTGGTCAGCAGACACTGAGATCCCGTTACCTCTGCAGTAACAGCATATGCAGAGGACAGAGCACACTCCCCCGCACCACTGCCAGCCGTGCACCGGCCACTCAATGGTCATTGTCCAGTGTACTGACCAGGCCACTGCAACTGGCAACTCACTGGGGAGCCTCAGAACCCCACAGTCTTCCACGTGCGAGCTGTGAAGGCCACTCTAATCCGGACACCTGCAACCCCAAAGCACAGGCATCGGGCAGAAGACAACAGCCCAGCACAGAGAACAGACAATCGGCCCTTCCTCCACCTTTGTGCTCTACACAGAGCTCCTTCCTCAGTCTCCCGAGTGCACGCTGTCTCCAGAAACATCCTCACAGGCACGCCCATGAATGACGTCTCACCAGGTACCTGCACATCCCGTAGCCCAGGCACGCTGCCACAACACAAACCGCCACTTCCAGTGATGCCTTTAGACCCCAGCCAGTCAGCGGAGCCCAGCTCAGAGAGCCTCCCTTTGCCCAAACACTGCCCTCGGGTCAAACAGGTATGTTCTGAACGGGACCCTCAAACTTAGGAAGACAGAAAAAGGAAAACAGTGATTGTTTTTGTCAATCATCCATCCATCACTTCACTGGCAGAGTTGATCCTAAATAAGTTCCTTGTGGCTGACAGGTGAACAGGCACGCACACATACAAATGTACACACACACACACAGGCTAATCCCTGTATCACTGGTGCACACACACACTCTCACTCACACACAAGTTAATCTCCATATCACTTGCTGCCACTGGCCTCCTAAGAAGCTTATCCAGGCACGTTCTGACTTCAACAACGACCGGCTAATGGTTTTACATTTCTCCCCAGTGTTATACGCCATCTTTGTCACTCCTATCTCCTAATGAAATCAAGAAACGGAGGAAACAGAGAGCGAGCCAGGCAGTGCCAGAGCCAAGGTCACCGTGTGGTTCTGGACCAAGCCACACATCATCACCGGGAAGCCATCAACAAGCCCTGAGTCTCCTTAGAGAAATGAAGCCGCAGTCTTGTGGGAAAACCGCTTCTTCCCATTTTCCTTAGAGAAGCACGATGCTCACAGAGCTGTGATCCTGTCGCGAGAGAACGCGCTCACTCGCTGTGGCCTCGGGGGAGCAGCTGGCAGCGGCTTGGAGCCCCGTCTCCTCCTGCCGCCTTCTCAAGTGCACCAAGAGCAGTCGCGGCCCTGGGGAGCGGTTTTAGTCCGCGCACAGTTGGCCTTGATCCTGTGCAATGGTTCGTTCCCTACCAACGTTGCATTCATATCCCCACAAGCCGCCAGTCACCCCCTGCGTGGAGCTGTTTCTTCCCCACCCTCCCAGCTCTGCACCCCCTGCGTGGAGCTGTTTCTTCCCCACCCTCCCAGCTCTGAGACACATCTGAGCCGCACCAGCCACCTCCTCTCGCTGGAGCCACTCCTGTGGCTTCTCCTGACCCTCACAGGAGATGCCAACCACGATGCCAGACCTGACCGTGACCCCCGCCTTCCTCTCCCACCGCATTCCCTCCCTCAGGGTCAGCCACGTGCTCTGCACCACCCGCCCTACCTCCACCCCCCTCCGGCCTGCTGCTGGGCCGTCAGTCCACGGCCCCCATCAGTGCCCCAGGGACCCTCTCCGCCTGCCCTGCCCACACTGCTGCCGAGCACCCGGCGCCTCTCCTAGCACTTGCTACAGCCGTCCCTGTGAGTCTGTCTCAGCGGTCACCGGGTGAGGCCCCGCCCGCTGCGCTGGACAGTGTCCCCTGAGAGCAAAGTCTGGCTGCTCCTGAGGGCCAGCACAAAGATACCTCGTGAGGGAAAATGCGGGGTCCCAGGCTAGCGTAAGGGCAGGGCGGCCGACGACCCGCCCCACGGCGCACACGCGGAGCAGTGGTGCGCTGAGCGCGGCTGGTGCAGCCATTCCCGTGCGCGGCTCCGGGCTCCGGGAGCCGCTCCCCCAGCTCCTGTGGGCGCCCCACACAGGGTCCGGGGGAATCGCGCCTGGGAAAGGGTCCCGGGGCGCAGGACCCCCAGCTGCGGTGGACCTCTCCAAGTGGGGGTGTTCGGCCAAGCAGGCCCCCAACGGCTGCCCACCCGCGTCCACCTCAGATACAAACACAAGGACCGGGACTACTCTGGACGAGCTCCAGAGCCCCCGAGGGTCTGACGGCGGCGGCCAATTCGCCACCTCTTCAGCCCGGAAACGCCAAGCAGGGGCCGGGGCCGCGAGCAGACAGGAAAGACGGGGTCGCACACGCATGTCACGTGACTGGGGCCGCCCCACACCGAGGAGCGCCGACACAGAGACCCCTGTACCTTGGAGGAAGGAGAAACCAAGGACGGTACCTACGACCCGGAGCTCGTCTGGGCGTGGGCGGCCGGGAGCCTGCAAGGCGCAGGACCGCGCCCCGAGGCCCAGCCGAGCGCGGCCCGACGCCCCCTCACACCGCCCGCCGCCTCACACCGCCCGCCCCGTCACACCGCCCCCTCACGCCGCCCGCCGCCCCACACCAAACGCGGCCCCACCCCACCGCCTCACGCTGACCACGGCCTCCCACCGCCTCACACCACCCCTTCACGCCGCTGCCCCACACCGCCCGCCGCCTCACACCGCGGCCTCACACCACCCGCCTCATACCGCGGACTCACACCGCGCGCCCCCTCACACGGCCCGCTGCCTCACGCCGCGACCCCGCCCCGCCGCTTCACACTGCCGGCACGGCCACGCCCCACGCCCGCAGGCCTGCTCGGGGGTGGTCTGAGCATGCGCCCTGGTCCCGGCCCCGCGGTGCATCCTGGGAAGGCGGGCGTGTGTGCGTTAGGCCGGGACACCGGAGTCCGGCTCGCCTCCCTAGGCCTAGCTCGGTCTGCCGTGTCGGTTCCGTTGCTCTGGTGCAAGGTTCCGGGGTTCCGTGCGGCGGCACCCACAGAGCCGTCCATCGGGGCGGAGCCTAAGCTGGTACCGCCGCGGTCGGCGGCCGTCGTGCCCGTGCCCCGGGCCGTGCCCCTGCCCGGAGAGCGGCCCCGGGTCGGGTCTCGGAGCGCCGCCGTCCACGCCTCAGCCCGCCTACGGCTCTGCTCGCCCCACAGCCGCTCCTGGCCGCCAGGCTGCTCCCTCACGGACTCTTACAAGCTGGGAAATATACAGGACACTTGACGGTTTGAGAAAGGACATCCGCCGTCCGAGAAAGACATCCGGACGGGCCGCCCCCTTCGGCCCTCGTTCTGCTTTCCTGTAGTTGACTCCTGCCACTCCGAGCCTTGCACCCAGGCCGGGACTGGGCCGCGAGGCAGGCGCTCGGGAGACGCTGGGCGGACCGCGCTGCGGCCTGGGTTTCCGCTGGAGCCCCTTCCCCGGCTTGGTGCCTGGGGTTCCTGCTGACCTCTGCTCTTTGACCTCTGCCCATCGTCTCAACCCTGCCTTTGCTTCCTCACTGATGGCCCAACACCTTCCTGTAGGTGGCAGCTGTCGGAAGCCAACCCAGTGAAGGCGCCAGCGCAGCCTTGACCCCCCGAGCCCTTCTGCCACGTGCACCTGCGCCGATTTCCATGCACCTGACCCGCACCCTTCCGCCTTAGCCCGCAGGAGCCAAAGTCTAGCAAACATCCTGCGGGTGTGAGGGGGCACGGAGCAGTGTGGTGCAGGCTGCTTGTCTGTCCGGATCGTCCGTGCCACACCCTCGGCCCGCCACATGAATAACTGAAAGGCGACCACACCACGGAGCGGACACCAACTTCAAGCTCTCACTTCCGCTCAGCTTCCTCTGCATTTTCCTTCCTCGGGGACTCGTGAGTCGGCACATCAGAAACCACAGGGCGCCACCCCGCCTGCTCGGGAGCAGAGGTTTCGCAGAGGGAGCACTGCAGAGAGAAGTCGCTGTAAGAAGTCAGATGGGAAAGAAGCTGTCCTCCCATGGATGCTCCGGCGCCACCCCGCCTGTTTCCTAGCCCCGCCCTCATCCAAGGGGACGATGACACCTCACGCCTGGAGAATGCGCAAAAGATGTTAGTGCCCAACCTCATCTGATCGCAGCCTTGTGGGGCCGGGCAGTGCAGCTGTAGGCCTTGGATTGCCGCTAACGACGTGCTGGACTCGGTAGTTAGAGCAGAGAGGCCTCCAGGTCAGGTCCAGTCAACTCTGACCTGCAGGGCTCCTGGCCTTGAGCCATGGAGACACACAACAGCAGGTCCCTTCAACCTCCTATTATAGTCAGGACCTACAAATCCAGGGAACTAGGACAGTTTTCATAAAGGAAAGGAAGTGGTGAGAGCTCTTTTTATGGTTTCCACGTTATGGTCATAGACCTTGGAACTAATCCAACAAATCTTTAAACATCACAGAAAAGTTCTTTGCCCCTTTACGCAGTTTTGTGATGACAGAGTACAAAATAACTGAAACGTTGTGTTAACTTTAAGTTGTAAATAATCAAACATGTCCTTTCTTATTTCCTAAACAATGGATAATGATAATTTAGTGCCTTTCATTCACAAACATCCTTAGTCAATAGCTTCTCAAGGACTCTGCTAAAGGAAAAAAAAAAGAAAAACAAAGAGAACTAAATTAAGGCATTTACGGTTTATAATACATGTGTTTCTCCTGTCTCACTATGATTTATCCTATGTCTCACTATGACTTATCCTCGATATGCAAGGACAGTTCAGTATCACAAAATCTAAGAGTATAATTCACCACATTAGCAGAAGTAAGGAAGAAAAATTAAAATTGACACAACTGAAACAAAGTATTCAATAAAATTCAAAATAACTTTGAGATAAGGAAAACAAAACTTTTTAACAAGACACAAGAAGTTCCTTCTTAACCACATAAATAATCTTCCACCAAACTTTTAGCAAACACCATGTTAAATAGTGCAACTAAGACCCCTTCCCATTAGCTAGTAGCAAATTAAGGGTCCCCCCAGCCACCACCTCTGATCTTCTTATCAGAGGAATTGAAAGCATTGACCTGGAGCCAAACTAGAGCTGGATGCTCAAATGGTGTCATCTTGAACAAGACTTAAATTCTCCCTACCCTACATGCCTGCCGATAGACGCTCTCCTTGACCAAACTTCAGTCAGAGTCCTCTGAGGCCTCTTTGTCGCTAGGTCTCACCCTTAGACCCTGCCCAAGAATCCTGCTGAGTGAGCCTAGCCTGAATCTGGCCCCGTTGATACTTGATCCTCATCCCCATCTGTGGAGCTGAAGTTCTTGACCTGCCCTTGAGGTCTCCTTTTAGCCATCTTCCACCTACCAACTTCTCATTCTGCTCCATGGTTACACATCTCCACTTGCCTTCTCTATAATTGTAGTTGATCCTGATCTCTCTCCTCTATTGCAGTGGTCTTGACACCTTGATGTCCTGAATAAACTCTTCCTTACTGTTTTAGCAAGTATCAGAATAATTTTCCAACACTACCAATATAATGGGAATAAAATGCAATGTACCTTATAATTGTCATGAAGACAAAATAGCTAATGAATGCACAGTACTGAGAAGAAATTTTGGCATGTAAAGGCACTCAATAAATTTTAATATTATTGCACAGTTTTATATTTCTAAAAGGAAAATAATGAGTGAAAAACAATACAAAAAATGTAGAAAACAAAGCCTAGGAAAACCACAAATAAATGATTAGATATGCAAAACCAATTTTAAAAATCATAGTAGTAATAACCAACATAATTTTTAAACTTGAAAAAAATTACTATCTTTTTCTCTCAAAACAAAATATAAGGTGAAATAATCTAACAAAAGATATGCAAAACATTTATGAGGAACAATATAGTTAAGACACGAAGACTAAAATAGGTTGAGAAATGTGTCACAGTTACTGGGGGAAGCCACAATAATATCTGTCAATTATCTCAAATTAATCTATCAGTTCAACATCATTGTAATAAAAATCTCCATATTGCTTTTCTCAGAACCTGACAAGCTGACAAAATTGTTATAAAACTATAGCAATCAAATCGCTTGTCATTGACACAGATCTGAGCTAATAAACCAACAACACAAGACAGGGAGCGCAGAAATATACTCACATATAAAGTAAAAATAGTAATACTGAAATAAGATAGTTACCATTCATTCAGTACTTATTCTGTGTCACGTTCCATGGAAAGGAATAGAAGCAGTGCTGCTTGCTCATTTAATCCTAAAAAGGCAGTTACTACCATTAGCCTCATTTTACAGGCAGCAAGTACTGAGACAGAGATAAAGAGATTGCCTAGCCAGCCAAAGATGACGCACCTTGTAGGCAGTGAAGCTAGATTTGAAGCCCAGTTATAGGTTTTCATAAACCATAAACTGCTCTACTATGTCTTTTAAAACATGGCATTCTACAGAAACTACATTAAAATTGAGTAAGTAAGGGCTAAGAATATTCTTTGTTGGGATGGAACAATTAGTTAACCATGTCTAACACACACACATGCTCCAGAATCTTTATAGACCTCAAAGCAAACAATTTTAGAAGAAAATTAAAGAATTTCTTAATAGAATTGGGAGGATTTTTCTTAAATAAGTTGCAAAAGCACTAACATTTTAGAAAAAGTTTGGTAAACTTAGCTACATTAAAACATTTCATTTCTCACACTTGTGCTAAAAGAATTAGGCATACAGTTGTTCACTGCTGTAGTGTCTCACTAGGACAGTTTTGCTGTTAAATGCCTAACAATGGGAAAATTATTAAATGTGTTCATGTGATATCTAGGAAGTTATTAAAATGAATGAACCGAAACTGTGTACTCTGTCAAAATGCACAGTTGGATGGATGGATGAATGGATGGATGGACAGATGGGTAGAAAGACAAATAGGGTGGGTGGATACATAGATGTAAAAAATTATATCACAAGCATAGATTATAAAACCCTTAAAATGTAAACGTTCATCACACAAAACTCTCAGCCTTTCTGAACACATCTACAGTGCAGAGCGGATACAGGATGCAGCTCAAGGGCCAGTGCTGTGACACAGCAAGCTAAGCAGTGCCTGCAGCACCGGCATCCCATATGGGTGCCGGTTCAAGTCCCGGATGCTCCACTTCTGATCCAGCTCCCTGCTAATGCTCCTGGGAAACCAGAAGAGGATGGCCCAAATGCTTGGGCCCCTGCACCCATGGGGGAGACTGAAAGAAGCTCCTGGCTCCTGGCTTCGGTCTGGCCCAGTCTGGTCATTGCAGTCATTTGGGGAGTGAACCAGCAGATGAAGGATCTCTTCTCTGTCTCTCTGTCTCTCCTTCTCTCACTGTAACTCTGATGCTCAAATAAATAAATAAATCTTTACAAAGAAAAGACACCCAGAAAGCCCACTTCCAGGATAGGGTTTCCCTGGGAAGTAGAATGAGAGTGGTAACAGGATTCATAGGGGCAAGCAGAAGACTTCACAAACATTCATGATTTATTTCTTGAAAGAGACAATGACGTGAACCAAAATGCTCACTGTTGTCAGGGATGGCCATCACCCAGTGTTCATTTTATTGTTCCCTGACTTGATGGAATGTTTGAAACACTTGGTAATTAAACAGTCGCTAGAACCCGCTCCTGGGTGGAGCATGAGCAGCGGCAGGCAGCAGAAGTGAGCAGACTGGCGAGGGGCTGTTTCATGAGCACAGGCTGAGCGTGGCACTGGCTGGAATAGCGTGATGATAGCACAGACATTTGGCCTAAACGCTATTGTGCTGAAATGGATAAATAAAGAAAAACATCTGTCGCTCCCCCTCTTCGTGGAGGAGCGACATAATGGTGCCGTGACTCGGATATGAAGCCTAGGCAGGGTTTAGTGTCGTTCCTCCACGAAGAGGGGGAGCGACATAATGGTGCCGTGACTCGGATTAGGAAACCTAGCTCGGATAGAAAACCTAGGACGGATAGCAAACTTAGGAGGGAAGAAACGGGAAGAACTGGGAAAATACCGGAGAGAGAGACTAGCAAACAGCCTAGGGGAAAGCCGGACGATAAAGGTGCCGGAAGAAGCTATTGAAAGCCTAGGCATAGACTCAGATACGGACTACGGACTACGGGGGGAAGCTGGGAGAAATCTCTAAGGTCGAAAGCGAAAGTGAAAGCTAGAACAAACAGACTCGGATGCGGACTGTGGGGAGAGGCCAGGAGAAATGAGGGAGGAATATTGTTGGAAGAAAACTTAGGGAAACATACCGGGTAGAGAAAAGTGTTAGGGAAATTGAAGCCGCGGGGGGCAGGCCGAGGCGGACACGAAAGCCACTTTGGGATTCTCAAGTTAGCCCGGGAATAGGGGGTGAAAAGTTGAAACCAGAAGCTGAAATGTAAGCCAGATTGGGATCCGTCTGATTAGCCCGGGGAGCAAAGGACGGGAAGCCAAATCGTGGGGCGGAGACGTAAGCTGGGTTGAATTCGCCAGGCTAGCCCGGGGAACTTAGATTGAATGCTAGTGGCGGACACGTAAGCTACGCTGTGTGACTCGCGGAGGCTGCCGTGCGCAGAGAGAGCGTGCGGGGCACAAGTAGATAGGGAACGGGGCTGGCGTAGGCCATGGTGCAGACGCGAAGGGCGTGGAAAGCGGAGCCGCGCAGATGAGAGAGGCGCTGGCTGAAGCGGCGCAGAGCCGGGAAGCTGCAGGGATAAGAGAAATAGAAGTTTAGAAGCAAAGTGAGAGAAATAGGAATGCTGGAAGATAGAAGTAAAATGGGAGAAATAGGAATGCCCGGAGATAGAGAAATAGAGAAATAGAAAGGCCTCCCTACAACACTGCAATGTGAGAGCTTGGATTCGGTCTGCCTGATTAAGTGAGGCGATGAGCACGATGAGCACCTGTGGCGGCTAGCAGCTTATGCGCCGCAGGTCACCGAAGACAGGCACGAATTAACATCAGTAAGGCCTCCCCACAAAAAGGCAATGAGAAGGCTTGGATTCGGTTTGCCTGATTGATAGGACTTGTAAGAGCCTGTGGCAACTCTAGCAAGTAGAGCAGAGTGTGTGCCGCGGGACACCGAAGACAGGCGCGTATCAACGCCAAAAAATAAAAAGAAAGGGGGATCTGTGGGGAGCAGCCCGGACTGGACTGAGTTACTGGAATTAAGACTTATTCTATGCATCTGCTCTCCCACAATATGGCGCTGGGAGAGAAGTAAACAGCTTCCGCACAGCTGCCTCCAGTTCAGCTAATAAACTGTAGGACTTGCTCCTGATTGGAGGAGAGCAGCGTACTCGGCGTGTGGGCAGCCGAGTTAGGATTGGCGGAGGAGGACTATAAAGGAGGAGAGAGACGGCATGCACCAGGAACATCTAAGGGGAACGTCTGGCTGGAGGAGCACCCGTGCAGCCCCTGAGAAGAGCCGGCCGGCGGTGTGCCGCTCCCCCGCGGAAGTGGGGAAAGTGGCCAGGGGGAACTGCCCTTCCACGGAGGTGGAAGGGATAGTAGCCAACCCGGGAAGAACCAGCAGCAAACCCGGGGAGGGCCGAGCAGACGAAAGAACAGCGCAGGGTTCAGTGTCGTTCCTCCATGAAGAGGGGGAGCGACAAACATCCTAGAAAGATCCCACATTTTGAGTCTGGAACCAGGTAGGTGGTAGAGCCATTGACAATGAGAAGGGTATACAAGGGCAGGATTGAGGGAGAAATCTTGGC